TTTACCAAAATGACAAAAATATCACCAAAATTAGAGAATTAAAGATATCATCACGAAATAAACAAATCTGAGAGAGGTCCACATGTAGTACCTATATATGTAGTATCAAAGCAATTGGACTTGCGGTTTTTAACAAGAAGTCGAAAATATCACTTTTCACCAAAAAATGACAAAAATATTCACCAAAATTAGAGAATTGAAGATATCATCACGAAATGAACAAATCTGAGAGAGGTCCACATGTAGTACCTATATATGTAGTATCAAAGCAATTGGACTTGTGGTTTTTAACAAGAAGTCGAAAATATCAGTTTTTACCAAAAATGACAAAAATATTCACCAAAATTAGAGAATTAAAGATATCAACATGAAATGAACAAACCTAAGAGAGGTCTACCCAAGGTACATATACACCAAGTATCAAAGCATTTAGGCTTGTAGTTTTCAAGAAGAAGTCGAAAAAGTAAAACATTGACACGGACGACGACGACGGACAATCACTCATATGATAAGCTCCGCTCGACAGCGGAGCTAACAAGCTACCATTCTTTATATGTGCTCTAAACATTTTAAACAGAAACGTGATCAGCCAAAACTATGAAAATATTGCATTGCCGTCTCACATCGCGACTTGTCGACACGCATTCTCAAACCACAACACGGAATCCATTGACTTATTAACATAATAATAGGTACGTGACCTCGGGCCAGGTCCTATCTCCCATGGTGCAGTGAGACTTCCGGTGACCCCTGACCAGTTCTATTGTTGCGTAGTTTGTTTACAAAGTTTTCCTTTTGCGTACAACATGTATCGTTTTTTGGGGATAGACCCTCCAACAAAGAAACAGAAGTCGAGCATCGATAGAATTGCGGCAAATAAGGAGTATGACCAGTCAAAACATACTCGCAAAATAGTTCCAAGCTGGAAGACTGTGTTCAAAGAATGGCTGGTCACCGATGACACCGGTAATCATACGGTGTATTGTCGTATCTGCCGGGCTATTTACGGGCCGTTATCAAACCGCAAAATACCAGACAAAAAAATGTGAAATGTCATTTGGTCATAAACGAGCCAAATCGATATTCGAAGCAAAGAATGCTCCACCACCAAAGCAACTTCCTGCTGATATGGTAAAAGTGTTGACAGGTTAGACAAGCTATTCCGAGGCTGTAGCTGGATTAAATTCTGACTATGGTTCAGATTTTTCTGATCTAGCCGAGAGCAACAGTGACACAGACATCTGATATATCATGTTCTGAATATGCATGTTCTCTACAGCTACTTTGTTGTTAAAATAAAACGTGCATAGTATATTGTATACAACGCGTGTGTGCGTGCGTGTGTGCGTGCGTGCGTGCGTGCGTGTGCGTGCGTGCGAAAATAATTGAAAAAAATGTGCAGGACTGGTAACATTTTAGCAGGGCTTGTAACTTTTGAAAGTTACCAGCCCTGATGTCTGGTATGTAATCTGGACAAATTTCCTACACTGTGTAGTACCTTTATATGTAATATCAAAGCAATCGAACTTGCGGTTTTTAACAAGAAGTCGAAAATATCACTTTTTACCAAAAATGACAAAAATATTCACCAAAATTAGAGAATTGAAGATATCATCACGAAATGAACAAATCTGAGAGAGGTTCACATGTAGTACCGTAAAAGCTCAATCAATTCGGCCACTCAAATAGTTCGGCCACCTATTTTTTGCGTCATGGTTAATTTTAAAATGTATCCGTTTAGTTCGGCCATCTGTCCAGTCAGTCTATTGTTTGTATTCAATTAGTTCGCCCGGTGATGACACCGCGCGATTTTACGTCACTCTCTCAACAAAGGTATATTTTCACACATCTATCACGTAAATACAATGTACATGTATAAGCATTTACATCCATGGTATAAGCAATCGGGATATCCGCCAGATGTGCAGTCATGAGTGTCAACCGTGGTTGTACAAAAGACGTGTGAAATCTCTAGTACGTCC